GCATCAGCCTTTATATTTCTTGCTAAATGGACCTACAGGCGCTGGGCCTGGCAGGCAACTTTCAGTGCTCTTTTGAGCCCAGACATTGAGTCGTTCTCCGCGTTTTTATCCTCCAGAGCCCGTTCCCTCCGCCTGCCCCGTTCCTGGCAGTTTTAGGAGGTACAGCCCATCCCTGAAGTCACCAGCGTCTAAATTGCTTTTCCAGGTTTTTGTGGCTCCCCGTCAAAAGTGCGTGCAGCACAGCGTTCCAGGCTGCCTGTGATGAAGCCACAGAAAGGCGTGCTGTCGGGACTGCCTTTTTGCATTTTTTAAAGTGTAACGCTCTCGCCGTGTACACAAGAACAGAAAGGATTCAGACAGCGTGCAGGAGCAGTATGTCACATTTTATTTGCGTTCTTTTAAAATTTCTTCATAAAAGGGTACAGTTTTTAGGCTGAGTATAACATTCAGTATTTGCTAAGTGTTTAACAAAAGATACCTGCCAGTATGCAACTAAAAGTCTAATGGGATATCAAGTCTCACGCAACACTGATGGTATTTTCCAGGTGTTCACTGTTGAAGAAATGATGCCCCATGTCCAACACATGAAAGGAGGTCACAGTAAAAACCTTTTTCTTAAAGACAAAAAGAAGAAAGGGTTCTGGCTGGTGACTGTTTTGCACAACAGGCAAATCAATTTAAACGATCTTGCTAAAAAACTGGGCATTGGAAGCGGAAACCTAAGATTTGCTGATGAGAATGCCATGCTGGAAAAGCTAAAAGTGGGCCAGGGCTGCGTGACTCCCCTAGCCCTCTTCTGCGACCAGGGAGATGTGAAGTTTGTGCTGGATGCTGGCTTTTTGGAAGGTGGCCACGAAAAGGTGTATTTTCATCCAATGACAAATTCTGCAACCATGGGCTTAAGCCCTGATGACTTTCTCAAGTTTGTGAGATCAACAGGCCATGATCCCATTGTCATGCATTTCGATGAAGACATGAAGTAGATCAAGTTCACTTTTCTATTTACTAGGCATAGATTTTGCAGAGCAAAACTAGTTAAAAGTCTCATTATAAATACAATTTGAAAAAACAGGCTTACTCTTTTTTTTTTTTTCAACTGAGTAACTTTATAATCTGTTGAGAAAAAATGCTGTCTTCAGGTTATTGGAGGTTTACCAGAATATTCTTAAAAACACGTGTTACACTGAATAATCAGTAAGCAGAGGAGATGTTATTTAAATACTGTTATACTTTCTATTAATAAAATGGATAAAACTGGAATTTCTTGTCTGTGGTACTGGCCATGAAGGTTTCAACTTTAAAAAACATCATTATAAAATAAAAAAATTTCTAAAGTATTTGTCAATACACACACGACTTGAGATGTCTAGATTGTGTACCTGTACCCATTTTCCCCCACTACACATTTCTTTCATTATTTTTACCTAGAGAAAAAAAAAGCAAACAACTTACCTACACTACAGAAAATGCATTTGATTGTCTATGTTTTTAGTTGCATCTTCACTTTCACAGTATGCTCCTCCTGGGAAATAAAAAACTTAAGACTTCTGGCAATCGTCCCATTAAGATGGGCACACGCCTCAACCACTTCTAGAGCCTCTCCGAAACCAGCAGGACAGGAGGGAGCCCCACGAGCGGCCTCTCTCCTGGCAGAGGAGCTCCAAGGAACAGTGTAACTGCGGGTTCCTCACCAGGTGCAGTACGTCCTGCTGGCACCTGGGAGGAAAGTTAATACAACTCGGATCTGTATTAACTTTTGTGCGCAGTTCCTACGGATTCGCGAACCCACAGAGGCCGTGCATCTTCTGTGCTCTGCCATACCCTTAACCAGCACCTATACAAGTGGGAAGAATGGTACAACAAGCAGCTGTGCTTCAGGTTGCCCCTTTGGGAGAAAGGGACTGTGCGTACAAACACCCTGTGTTTAAGAGGTTGAGGGGAGGCCGATTTGGCTTTCAAGAGATGATGCGTATTTAGTAAAGTATCTGCTATTACAAGAACAAGACCAGTACATTCGCAACATTAAATTTCTAATATAATTCTCCTCCTCTCTCCTGCGTGAATGAGTAAAACTCCCTTCAGACAGAAGGTGTGTGTTGAAGATGGAAGCAGCAGAAACTCCATGACGCCCAGTAAGTGTCCTGGAGTACCTGCACAGAACCCAAAGACAGGGAAGCTGTGAAAGCAAGGGATAAAATCTGGAGATAGTGGGGAAAAGGTCGTTTGAACACAGGCTGACAAAAATGCCAGGTACTAACTGTGCCTAAAAGGCCAGTGTCAACACCAGTTGAGATGGAATGGAAATAAAGAATATGTAAGCATGAAGGAAAAAAAAAAAAGGCATCAAAGGACTTTTAATCTTGGATGACTATTTGCTGCTGCATCACGCTGAAGGGAAGAGGGAAACGCTTGAAAAGAAACACAAGGCAAAGACCAGCCAACCTGACTCGGTTTCATTCTAGATGGCCAAGACAGTTCTATGAGAACATCAACATTTGTGTGTTGCATTGGGTTTTGTTTGTTTTCCCTATCAAGAAAGTGAAATCTGTAACTCTACAGAATGAAAAACTACCATTAACTGAGTAAGAAAAAGCATCTTCTAGAGCAAGGCAAGTTACTTCACAGATGTCCTTCCCCTGGTTTCCTTCATTTGCAAAGGATTTGGCACATGTTCTCAGAGACGTGAATTTAGTGACAGAACAACTGATGAAATGGCAGTCTAAATCCTTCCCTCCAACTTTGAAAGACACAAACCATCCCCATCTATCATGGCAGTCATCCCAAATGGGAAAGAAGTCACCTAAAAACGTTCAAGCTGTAGGAGGAGTCACTAGAAAGATGTCCAGGTACATACAATTTTATATTCATTGTTAAACAAAAGATGGGAATATTGGGTTGACTAACAAACTCTGGATTGACTAACAAACTCTGGATTGACAAATGTGTTACTAAATCAGCTAGGTATTAAGATACAGTCTTATGTGTCTTTAAAAGTAAAATTTACCTTACCCTCTGCCTGCTACTCAGTCTCCCTCCCCTTTACAGTTTTTTCTTTGTGGTACTCCAAAATCCTTTATCGGTTTAAAAAAAAAAAAAAAAGTTTGACTTGTCAAGGTTTTTAAAACCAGAAAGCTTTAAATATGGAAAAACTGTTTTGCAGATGTGCACAAAAGCAGTTTACTATGCTTCATGAATCTTAAAATCTGTGCTACCTAAAATTTTACTATCTTTGTCCTCAGATGAGATTCTGAGACTTGTCTCAGCAAAATAATGACCAAGCAAATTCAAAGCTTCAGATACAACATTTGGCAAATCTATAACAATTTCTTTTTGTATTTACTTATGAAATTAGTGTCTTTTTTTAAATAATATCAAAATATTGTATCATTAAAAGCTACACAGGTCTACACAAATAAACAACACAAAACAAACTACACGCTGTCCAGAAAAATCCTGCTACAGCTTTATCGGTTTCCTTCCGGAAGAAATACTGAACACATCACCAACTGACCACAACGCCATCACTGAACACCAATATCCTTCCAGTAACATCAGTTTCCTGAAAAAGTGTGTATAAACGTACACACAAAATAAGAATAAAAATTATTTGGTTTGGCATTTTAATAACATCATTAATAAATGTATACAATGGCAAACATTTAAAAAATCAGTATGTAAAGGAAATTACAGTTTTAAATAAGAGCTTTTTAAGTTTTGTTTCACACCTAGGTACATTCCTTTAAGGCAGTTTTATTAATATCAAAGCATTATTTACATATACATCATCTAACTCTAGAAATCCTACACGAGCTCCTTGTTGAGGCCGCATCATGTCTTGGAAAAAGTTTAGAAATAATACATGGTGGGAATGTTACTAAATCCTCAGCAGACTATCAGAAAAGTAACTAAAACCTATACAAATTATGGTACTATGACCTCGTTTGTAGCCTTGAACTAGCAGTGGCAGATTTGGCAACCCTTGCAGTAAAAAGCTGTGTACTCTCGTACGCTGTCCAACAGCTGCCGTGTTCCTCTCCCGGGAGTCAGTGCTTCAGAAAACGCAAAGCGGCTCCCAGAATAAGTTTCCGGTTTTATTTTCTTCTAATTTTAAGCATGCAGACTGGAAAGATTAAGAACGGGAAAAGAAATTAATTTGAAAATCATCAGAGCGTAGAGTCTCCTGACTGCTCTTCTGCTCTGAAACTTCTTGGCAAAAGAAAGTTCTGGAAGAAGTGGGTTGCGATCTCGCAAATGCAAACGTATCCCTGGTGCCACTTTTTGGCTAATTAGCAAATAGAACTCAAAATCCCACCCTGGCCTCTATTGATGCAGAACGTGCCAGTGGCCCAGAGGGACACACGCCAGGACTTTGGTCTGCAAACCTGACCTACGCTCGCCTCTGACCTCCCAGGGTGAGCTCTGCCCCCAAACTGCTGCTGATCCTCTCTGACACCAGGAAACTTGGCTTTGGTGAAACAGTAACGGCAGTTTGTCACTACACCCTGGCGGTGACTGCACAGCAGCTTTAAAAGAGGTGTAATAATATGCAAAAAAAGCAAGCATTGGAGTTGTGACAACTTGATGAATACAGGAAAGAGCTGAGCTAATAAGCAAAGCGTCAGGAGGCGCCCATGTGACAAAAAGGACACAGCCACGCATGCCCACAGAGCATGACGCTGTGCCACTCTTGCCTAATTCCCAGGGTCTTCGAGAATCTACTGCAACACACACAACTGCTCAGACTCTGTGAACACAAACAGCATTTGGCACTACGCTTTAAACCTGTTAATTCAAGACATGCACGTTCTTCTAAAAATCTTAACGCTACTAAAGGGTTATTAGGGTTTAATGGTCTGAAATGCATCAGTCCTCTGTGGTCACTGAGGGCGAGGGGAATCCAGTCACAAGCAGCTTGGAAACAACCTTCTCTTGCATTTATGGTATTTCAATTCTCTTCCGTAACAGCTACGCCTTTAGGAAGGGCCAGCGGCATCACTCTCAGTTATACTGTGGGAAACTATCCCGAATGCAACGGAGCTGCCTACAAAAGCACTGCAGAGCTGGGTTTCAGGAGTGCTCTTGTGCTGCAGATCACTCCCGGGATTGCTGATCCATGTTGACCCTCTGCAAAACTCACCACGCTCTGACCGAAATTGGTGAAAAGTTTCACACTGAGAATAAGGGACCAGCAATGGATGCTAGTGCAAGATGGTAATCAAATGAAACTAGTGATTTTAATGAAATAGAAGAACTGTCTTCAGAGGAAGAATGGGAAATTCTATGTGGTCCAAAAGGTTGGACCAGATGATCCTTGAGGTCCCTTCCAACCTGGTATTATTCTATGATGCTATGATATTGGTCCTACTTTCACTTAAGGAAAAAGAACAAACAAACAAAAAAGTAGTTTAAATTTTCTGTGAAAACAACTGCAGGCTAATAACCAAGTATACTTATGTATTACAAACCCAAAATATTCTGTTTAGATCTAGATCTTTTAGCACATTTTATCAGAAAAAGCATTTCATAAGGAAGTAAACTTTAAGGAAGAAAGAAACAAGAAAATTTCCCCTTCTAAAACTTGTTTAACTTTCCTATTTTTTCCCCTTTGAGATAGAAGTTCAGGAAAAGAAAAAAAAAAATGATTTGGCAGTATGCTTTTGAGTCTGTGCTCTCTCTCCAGTGAAAACCAGTTCTGTTCCAGCCATTCCAGACAGCCTGAGGCTTCATAAATGATAAAAACATGTGAAGCCTCACGAGAGCAGCTGTTGGGCAGCTGAGGCTCTGCCACAGCCTCCATGTCAGGATCACTGCTTACCTTTCCCTGGGGGGGTGGAGGCAGCTGTGGATGGAGTTAGTACCCTGGGAGGTTACAGTTAACCCTTTGCAACAGGAATACAATGTGCTGACTAGTTTGTAATAAAATACAATTACAGTAAAACTCATTTTGGCTCTGCATGTAAGTCCATGCATGCTTCTGTCCTGGTTTGAGTTTCTCTGCAAACGGTTTCAAGACAACAAATGTTATTGGTACGTTCAGGGGTTGCATATGTTTGTTGACTTTAATATAAATCAAGAATGAACAAAATTAAACTCGCTAATAGAAGACAACCTTAAGGGGAACTGACTGTAAAATGCATTTGATATTATTTACATTTCTTTTTGCCATCAAGAAACCTCCTAAACCACAATCAGCTCATGTTGAAAGACAAACAATAAAAAAATTAGTCAATACACAAACATGAGAAGACAGTCTTATCCTGAAGTGCCATTTGTTGAAAAGAGCCTTATATTAAAATAATAGTTCTTTCCTGTCAGAAACGTCTGAACATATATAGGCAGAGTAAGTCGGGAATGTGAAAAACACAAATGACAAACAACTTCTATATAATACCACTATCCCATGACTCCCCCTTTTGTTAGTTATCGAACTTTTTCATGTATGTAAACAAATTTTTCTCTCGCAGTATGCAACAAAAAACAGCATAAACTTTTTAAAGAGCAATTTCATGCAGATTATGCTAACCAAATAAGGCAGTGAATTGCCAGGAAGCTGTGAGATTTTTGTATCTGTATATACAGTCAATTTCAACAAAATACTACAGCATTTATTTGAGATTTACAGAAGTAAATATAAACTGCTAGTTATGGGTGGTTTTGGCTAATTATTAGCAGAAGCTTAAGCAAATCAGTGGCTAATTTCATAAACAGAAGATGAGGAAAGTTTTTTTTTCTTTTTTTTTTTTTTTTCCCCTGGAGTAATTCTTGAGACCTTAAAATTCTTGGTCCTTAGGGAGATGAGAACTGTCCTTTATTCAGTAGATCTTAACAGTGCAATGTGCAATAATTCCTAAGACCATCTACAAATTTTCGGCAGTAGACTCCAGTAGAGCTCCTTGATTCAAGGAAGGAAGGAAGGTAGGTAGATTTTTATTTCTTGCCTGCTCTAGTCACGAAGAATGTAAAAAATGCCCTTAATTTTTATTAATGATTCCTACAGTCGCTGTCTTGTTACTTCAGATATAAAGGCTTCACACTGAGATACGGAAGGACACTTTTCTCTCTGTGTTCAGTTGAAAGGTAGAAAGAGAAAAGAACGTAAGAAAAGCTTAAAGTGTAAAAGCATAAAAACCAGAGTTAAGTCACTAACAGAACTAACAGCACTAACAGCATGCACCAAAGGCATTTTAATGAAGTCAAGAGAAGGACAGAATGCCAGAGACAAGCTTTATAAAAAGGCAGTTTCCTTGTCATACGGAATGGGTTTTGTTAAGCTACTCTTAGATTTATCTGTCCCTTTCTAAGAACTGACTTCAGTATTACTTCTTAATGCGATTTCTTTGAACTTTCTTCTTCAAGAGATTTGAAAAAGAAAAAGATAAGTAATTTTTACAGGCAAAGGCTAAACAGGATGAAGCTCCCTGCCAACGCAGGCAAAACAACTGCTGTAAAGCGACCTGTTCTGGCTTAACTAATAAGCAAGACAGAAGCCAGTTAAGCAAGCTGTATTTACATCTGGTTAATGCAATGTGCACTTGTTCTTATATGTAATGCTGTTAGTTTGTTGTAAATGAAATTAATCTCATTTACATTTTGGGCAGGAAACTCACCACTTGGCCCACATCTCATGTAGTGGGTAATAGAATTAGGAGCTTTGTTGCTCCCTAGACCTGCTTTTTGAATTTCTGCTTTCTGGGATAGCTTCCACATCTGCAGAGAAAAGCATTTCATGTTATTAATTGTGTTTATCAGGACATGAAAAAAAAACCCTCATGCATTAAAATACATTCTACTTATTAGTAGAGCAAAAGGATATATAAACATTTATTTTTTTTTAGCAGAAAGGACAGAGGAGAGGGATTGAAGAAAGTCACTGGAAGTGCCTACTCAACTACACTCATCAAAACTCAGCTTAGCATTCAGAATAACCAGGTCTTATTTTCAAAGCCACAATCAGATATACTTAACTTTCAAGTAAACTAACACTAAATTTCCACCTGTAAGTAAAGGGAACAAAAATTTAAAAAATCAGAGGTACTCAAGGTTGACTGAACCTCACAGAGAAGTTAACTCATCTTTGCATTTTTACCTGCCACGCTGACAAAGACATTCACATTCAATTCTGGCAAAACAGAAAATTCTCTTTGCATGCAACAGCTTAAGCGTGCAAAATGCAGGTTCTTAACTTACTACTCACTTTGAGCAAAGCATCACGCAAACCTTTAACTGCAAGCAAATTACTGAGCCTGAACAACAAAACCTTTTTTCAGCTGGCAGCCACAAATTTAGTGTTTGCAATTACCATGCAAAGCCCTAACTTAGAATTTTTCAAAGGCAGCAGGGACCCAGGAGTGAGCATGTGTGCCATGTGCTGGCAGTCAGCAGTCTGAAGGGCCAAGGAGCAGGAGCAATTGGCTCTGAAAGGAATTTCACAGATCCTTCCGTTATTTGAGAATAGACTGAAAGAGACTTCCATGATATTACTGTTAAAGCGTAAAGATCAAAAGTAGAGGAAAAAACGAGATTTCTGTACATGAAAATGTTTGCTTTCTTTCTTATATAATAAACAAATAGTGACTATTTTTCAGAGACATTAGAAAGTATCTAGCAGCATGCTTTGGCTGCTGCATGTGAACAAAATGGAGCAAAAACAGGAGCACGAAAAGCTCTCCTCCTCCAAACCACAATGCAACTCCTTACACATTTATAAACCAAGGCAAAACGGTAGCTTGAGCTGGACAAGGCTAGTCTAGAACTCCCACAGAAGGTCTGAGACCAGCATTCAAAGACACCAACATTCGGTCTTTCTGAAGCCCTTTATGTTTAAAAGAGAAGCTGTTCTAACATCACCCACTCCATGGAATAAGGTAGAATGCAGGCTAAAAAGGCATTAAATACCAGGCATAAATATTTACTCTCAGATTTGGTTTGTATGTGAAAGCTTAGCACTGGGAAAAGAAATAAAACCATGCGAACTGAAGTGCCCCACAGGCAGTAGCTGGAAAAAACATCCTTTGTTGCCTTGCTAGCGAACTTTAACTTCGCTCTGCAGGGCTAACCTTTACAATTTCTCTTGGGAACTTGGCCTTGCTTGTGATTACAATCTGGGTTCAGTGATCAGGCTTGGGTTTGTACTAAACATATCTGGAGATTGTACGGGTATTTTTGGTAGCTGTGACAGTCTATGGACCTTGACAAGCCACGGCTGGCAAAGGAGGGAACAGCATGCCTCCCAGCTTATCTGGTTTCTCCAACAACAGAAGGTGATGTAAAGAGAAGATACTACCTCTAGCTACAAACCTTGTCCTGCTCTTAGCAAGCAGTCTTGCTGCAAGACACAGGCTTGCAATCACTTAAGGAAAATACAGATGCTGGTAGCACAGCATGAATTTAGAATAAGTACTCTCGGAGCTAAGAAGATTTTCTCCAATAATTCCCTGAATAACTCACAGAGTGTATTACATGCGTGTCCATTCAGAGAGCAGCACTGTCCCTCTCAAGGCTAATTCAAACCCATCTACAGATTAATGGAAATGAAATCAAAACGACACAACCCAAGATTACAACACTGATCTCATTGTGTGAGAGCAAATGCATGTAAAATTAAGATCAGATTTCAGATTTGGATTATTTACTTTTTAAAAAAAAAAAGGTGAGACAATTCTAGAGGGAATACAGCAGTAACTATCAGCTGGCTGAAGTGAGAAATTTCGCAGCCCAGGACTAAGGCGTACCTGCAGACATGGGAAGGGTGGCTGCTGTACATTTTCAAACAGCAATTTTACAGAATGTCTCTGAAACATCCAATCTTCTCCTCTCGTTCCTTTTCCCCACCTTGAACTGGAGCTCTGCAAAGGGCTGTCTCTGCATTTTATTTACGATTCTCCTGTATGGAATGGAGACTTTACAGACTAACGTGAGGGATGTTCACTGCTTTTCCCTGAGGGACGGTGCATCTGCGGCACTTCTACCTCTCCCTAGTCACACGCTAGGAATTAAAAAGTTCACAAGGAATTAAAAGTTCAAGCCACACAGCAGTACTGTAACTGCCCAAGAATTGCTGGCAAAATAATTTCAATTGTAAAAATCAAAATATGACATTCATTATTTTTAATATTTATTTATTTTTATTTTCCCTCTAGATATATTTGCATTCAGTTATTTCATAGCGTATGTCATTTTGGCCTACAGTAACTGTCAGAAACTATTTCCTCTTGCAAGAACGGCTAATGTCTAAAGCCTCATGTAATTGTAGTTTAAGTATGATACAATTTTAAACTGTTTATGATTAAGAAGTTTCAGGCAACTGCAGGGACAGTGACATATTAAGTGATTACTCTCCAAATTTTCTCTTTAGCTGGTCATCTGGAATTTAATGGGTTACTGGCTTAAGCGTTCCTGTACTCCTCTAATTTTGCAAGCAAACTTTTTGCTTTTTCTTTTGTTTAACTGTGTTAATTTAACAGTTTTTCTGTTATTTTGTTACACATCTTGTTTTCTATTATATTAGTGTTACTTCCATTATGAAGAAAAAATGAATTTCCACCATAATCGATACAGGCTTTTATTACCATGCATCACAAGGAGTCTCAGAGAACTCTCTTATTTGACTCCTAGTAAGACCCCACACTCCACCACATTTGCACACCAGACATGGAAAGACAAAGCATTCGAAAGGGAAGAGGTGGAAAGGGTCATTTTTTCATTATGAGTGTTGCATATCATGTGACTATTTATTAGCTCTTCATACAAATTATCGTTTATGTTTAGGAATATGTCTATTTATTAACATGTAGGTATTTTTTAGTAAGTATGAACAGTAATTCATATTTAGTGTGCAAGCCAGAGGCACTGAAGTGTTTGGGCTGTAACTTGTTCCTTGTGAAAAATGCATTTATGCCAGGGCACAGCATAAATGAGAAGGGCAAGATGCAGAAATCTCTCTAAATGGTTTTCATTATTATTTCATTTTGGAAAGAAGATTATGTCCCAATATATAATAAATGTGTTACTGATACATCTTAGAGGACGAGCACAACTGAGAAGAACTTTCTTTGTACCAGAAATGATGATGCTCCTGCTGCCGGTTTTGGCAATGCAGCATGCTGTTGGTTTAACATGCATTCAGTAACATACAGGAAAAAAACCCCAAATATTCATAATGCGTGACAAATAAAAATATAGCTTGTATTATAAAGACTTTTAAAGGCATGCAAAATATATACAGTGCAATTAATGATTCATGCAAACTTTGGTGAGGTTACAATTTATACATTCAAACATGCTACAGTACACAGCAACCCTGTGCCATTGTTCTTGGAAAACAATTGCCCAGAGACCTAACACAAAATTATTTTTTCATGGTAGTGAAATTTTCTCTAAACTCAGCAGACACTGAGAACACCTATATGTCATACTAGACTATATATATCTCTCTATATATATTTAATAACACCACTTCCTTTTCATACACAACCATACTCGTACCACAGAGTTTTATTATCTTCTGAAACCAGCAGTGGGGATTCAGCCTCACCACTGTTCACACAGGTGGTAGGAACAAATTCACCAGGCAGAACAACCCGCAGGCCACTATGCTCAGACTTCTGATTAGCAGAAGGCTGTTCTTGATTTTTCAGTACTGACCTAAATGCTGACGGATTTGCCTGATCGGCTGGTTTTGATTTAGGCCTTTGAGGCAACCCACTTATGTTACTAACTAATTCGGTGTTCAGGGACAAAAATGGCTGAGGCACAGCGAATGATCCTGTGCTGTCCTTACTGGACATACTGACTTTATCACCAAACACGCTTGTGCTTAGCAAAGTTCTCTCATGAAAACTTGACCTCTCCATCCTCGAAGTCTTAGGCCCATCAGAGTGACATCCTAAATTACGTGGTTTAACTGTATTAGCCGCATTGCTTTGCGGAACGCAATCTACTCTATAAGCCACACAGTGAGAAGAATAAAGGGATAACTGGTGTGCCGAGTACTCACTAGAGGTTGATGGAACACTTCTGTCGGCGACGGAGGGTGCCAGATCAACTGATACCGGTTGCCTACTGTCCTTAGACAAAAAATCGTGAATGCTTGTCCTTCGAGTAGTTCCTTCCGCCGTTGAAATCACACTGCTTGCCCGAGGTAAGGTAGCATAAGGATTGCAATCTCTTGATTGTCGCTGGGATACAGTTGCTTGTATCTTTTCTTTAACTGATTTGGCCTTCCCTTGGGTGCCTGATGTAAATTTTATTGGAGAACTAGTAAAGTAAGTATCTTCAGTTTTACGAAGGCTGGGCCTTACAAGCTGTTCTGGTTTAACAGATCGTCCGTCTGAGAAATCGATTGTATTTTTTACACTTAATGATCTCACAATACCACAACCAGCAGACGGCTGTTTTCTTGGCTTTTCCTTTCCTGTCAGCTCCACAGACTCAGATAAGCTTTTCATGACTTCATCTAAAAGATTCTCTTCACTTGCAGATTTCATCTGTCAAAAATATGAAACAGCTTACAAATCCATAGATTATAATTTTGACCTTTTCTTAAGCATTCTTTGTGGACGCAACTGAAGAAGAATTCCAAAAAGTTTGGTTTCTTTTAAATTTCTTAGATCTAAAAGCAGTATTTAACATTCATGATACATACTCCTTAATTTTCTGCACAAGCTCACAAGCAAGTATTGTGAAAATTAGGTGTCAGACAGATCATAACTATCTGGAATTAGTTCCTGTAACACCAATTAACTCGACAAATCAGGTCATCAACACTTCAAGTTTATCTTCCCTCTCACTTGCCCTCTGCCATCACCCATCAATATTTCCTAAGCAATTTTGCATGGGCTATTATTTTAATGTATACTGATCATCCAGAGCCAAAAGCTTAAATTCTCTACACACACTGCATAAAGACAAAAATACAAAAAAGTAATACAAAGCACATAAACTTTAGGCACTCTAAGTGCCTAAATTTGGACTGGACAGTTCCAAACTTTTTCTTTCTGGAGAAAAGACTTCAGAGCGAGAAAAAAAGTTGAGGTGACTACTAGTCATAGACTAGGAGGAGAAAGACTGCAGTCTTTTTTCAAAACAGTAAGAGAGACAATTGAGAAATAATGAAAGTAACAGCATTAAGGAAATGCTCAGGCAAAAGGCTAGAGACCTCCTGAACACCCTGCCAACCTGAGTGATTCTGTGATGCTGAGACGGATTCTGTAACTCATGAACAGCAGCGGGCTTGACTTGATGACTCTAGTGGTTTCTTCTACTTCTATTGTCAAAGGCTACTGTCTAATCCCTAAAATGCCAAAATCTGTGTCAGAGAGACCTGTGAGAGGTCATTTTAAATATCCAACAAATGAACTCAGAAACTTAGTTCAGACTCAAGTCACAGACTACTCCAATCTCTTCAGCTGTGAAGGTACGCTTTTCAATTTCTGTTTCTGTCGCCAAAAATAGATGGAGTCTGATCCTCGCTGGGGCCTATCAAGAGTAACTGTCTCGCTTTATCCTACAGCACCTTGAGGTTTTGGACAGATCTACTCAGCTAGTGATGAAGGAACTGGAATACCAGCACAGACAAGGCGATTTTGGGTTTCTAACAAATTGACACTGATTCAGAGAAACGGTCTTTGTCTTATTCCTCTCAGATTTCAATAAGCTCCAAGATCATTTTTTTCACCCAGTAGAGTTAAAAAGATGAAACTGAAGCAGACAAGAGTCTCTCCTCAGGGAAAGAAGTATAGCATCTTCCCTCCTGTTGATGTAAGACAGATCTGACAAAAGCTCTTACTCAAGGCAAGTGCTGAACTGGAAGAAGGAAAGTAAACCTACTCTGAGTTCGTGGCCTTCCACTGAACTCTGATGCACTGTGCATCACAACATGGGACAATTTTCTGCAGGAGATTGACTTTCTTACCTGATTCAGCAACTCAGAAAGCTGTGAAATTCCAGATGATTGTGTGCAATACTGCAAGTACAGTTCATCTGGATTCAGCTCACACTACTTCTTAATGCAGTCTAACCAGTATCTCCACAAAGTTTTAAAGCTATTCTATTCCCTGTAAGTCTTCTATTAATTCAGTGACCATACATGGGATAATATATAGTTAGAATAGATTTTAAACTAACCTCGCTTGAGGTGCTCTTGTTGCTTTCTTCTAAAAACTGTTGCAGGGTAACGACTTCACTTCCTGGAGACCCGGTTTTGATCTGTTTTCCACGACTATCCAGCGTTCCGGGCGTTCTTTGCTGCAGCACAGGACTAGATCTCGTGTGACCTTTCAGATACTGAACAGGACTGCTGCTGCTGCTAGACCAAGCCTCATGTTCATGTAGCAGACTAAATTCTCCACTGCTGTGACTCTGCGGCCTGCTTTGATTGTTAATTGCACCTGCTTTTGAGGTAAACGGGATTAAGTATTTCCATAAGAAAAATATATGAAAGCTGTTAAACAGTATAACCTTAACAGAAATCTGGAACAGTATCAGATTCAGTTAACAGTAATTCTATATAAATAATAAAAAAACAGTTGTCCTTTTTTACTCAAACTAAATATATTAATATGATTGCACTCCCCTGACTTACTTCTTACTGCTCTTTAAATACAACGGATTTTTTTTAATTAAAAAAAAATCACCACCTTACGCTCATGATCTGGCCCTTCACCTACATAACACTAGACTCCAGGAGGCTAAAGATATGCCTCCACTCTTGTTCAGCATCACCATGAGGCACACACTCTAACAGGTGATTAATGAGTTTTACGTTAAATGAAATTTAAAAGGTAGACTGAGAAGAAAATACTGTTTTCAACATAGTTCTTTAACAAGAACTACTTAGGAATGCTGCTTCTTCCAACAGTTTCTGCCATTACTTCTAGTTTATTACAACTGCGACCTGAAGGAAGCATAGGGCATTACATGCAAAATAAATTCCACAACACCGATTCTTTTTATTTTTCAGTAACAACGAATTGCTTAAAATATGCTGATGAATAATCAAGTACTTTCTACTTCATGTTACTCCTAAGAAACGAACTTCAATCTCAAGAAAGATACACTATTCACAGCAGAAATTCCTAATACTGCATAGAAACTGGGACAGGGATTACCTCAAAGAATCTTTCACAGAAGGGAATAATCAAACAGAAAGAAAATAAACTAATAAAACTGTTAAGCTAGCATTCATCTCTAAATCTCGCAAACAGATATCATTTAATAATTGCAGGCCAGGAATGTTAAACGAAGTCTTTTGTTGGCAACATTTTAGTCTAGCATGTATGATGGTCTCCAGCTA